TTTTTCATGAAGGATGTCACGATACCTCACTCTAATGTAAATCAACAATTCCATCTCTGCATTGGCGCTGACGCGGAATTAATAATATGTACTTGTATGCTGTCAGGTCACATGGCCAGAAAAGATCAGACTTGTCCTAACCTGGCAGCATGACGGTAGCGGAGCAGCACTCTGGAGAAGCAACAATCTTGCTGACTGCATAAAAGATGAGGCTGGGCGGCCGCGAGATCTCATCAAGCTTTGACCTTCACTTAGGCTGGCTGCATTGTCGTCTGTTCCATTTAGCAGTACTCTTAAAGAGCAAAGAGGCAGACAGTATTTCTATAGATCCAATTATACTCTCGACTAGAAACAAACCAACGGAGGCGATCTGTAAGTATCAGTCTTCCCATCATATGCACGCAGGGTTCCTATAAAAATCATTTTATTACTACAAAGATTGTGTTCTGGCTTTCTTATCTCATTTGCACTTCTCTTTGCCTCTACATATATATATATTTTTTTTCCTAATAGCCAGAAGACATGGATGAATCGTATATTATTTATAATAACAACTCACTAGGAACCCTACCCCAGAAAAGCAAAATTTGGAGAGCGCGAGTCTTAAGAGTGGTTTAACAATTCCTCTCTATCCTGCCACTGCAGGAGGTTTGGAGATTTTGATAATCTCCTATTCACCCTGGCCCCTCAGTTCCAACGGCAGAGCCCGAGAGAATACGGTAGGTTGCCGCAGTGCTCAACCGGGGCTCAACAGCGCAACAGTAGGGAACGGGATGCACCGACACTGAGACACTGCCAGGACATCGTGTGTGTGGGAAGGGAAAAGCTGGTTTCTCGCCCACCTATGCGTCACGATGCCTACTTCTAGCCAGTTCCGTCTGCCTTCCTATTTGTTCAGTCAAGTAATATTCATTATTAAAAATATGACTCTTCCTGTACATGCATATCTATGAACAGGACACACCTGTCTACAGGTGAGAAGACACACGCTTCCTCATCTCGATTTTTCTACCTTTTGTGCCCTTCTGTTCTCTCTCAGTATTCCTCCCAGATACACTTGGAAATTGTCAAACAGCAACTAAACCACAGCTGAACCTAAATGGAGACTAATGTTTTAACTGCAGACAACAATATTGGGGGAAATGGGAGAAAAAAAAAAAAAAAAGGACGGACAAGCACCAAGGGCTCTTATCTCTGTATGTATGCCTTGTGCTGTGCAATGTCAGCATTAGCAGAATCCGCTTTATTCCCCTTGGTGGGAGATAACCAGAACAAACACATTGCACATGCGGGTCCATGTAGTGGTTAGTCCTGAGAAAGAGTATGGCTATAAATACTGAAATTGTACTTTTCACACAGTAGTAAGTTAAAACATATGTCTTCTCCTCCAGTGCACATGCAGGAGGTAGAAAGGCAAATTTCCTGAACTTTACATGTCAGCCTCTTAAAATAAATCCTTCATTGACCACTGCCACTGAAGAGACTACTTAAAATCTCTTGCCAAGGAAATGTTTGCTTAAAGGCCATTATGCTGTTATGAATCAAAATTCCAGATGCTAAACAAATGCCAATTAGCAGTATTAAAAAAACAGATGCCTTGTTCTGACTGAGTACCACTGCCTGGCATTTGAAAGAAAAAAAAAACCTGCACAGAACATGCTGGAAGCCACTGTCCTATTGAGAAGATAGCTTTTAAATAGCTTTTCTGAGAGGCAAACTTAAAAAGCTGTAAAAGCAACTTATTATGAAAGTCTCAGCATAATTTTCCATCAGTCTGGAAGAAGGTTAAGCTGTCCCCTGCCTTAAGCTGCTTTCTGTTAGAAATCTAAGCAGTGAATAGAAGAGGTATGGCACAGAGTCAGGTCCACGGAAAGAATAACTGAGACAGCACTACGCTGCAGCTGCCTATAGCCCTCCAACCTCCACTGTAGGTGTCAACTTTCAGAAAAACAAAAATGCAAGTTCTCTTATTATGAATCTGCTTATACATACAACGAATCCCATGCCAAATAAAGATGACCTCACACACACACACACAGATTTAAAGCCATTCTAGGCACCCCTCATACCCTTCACTTAAAGCTCTTCTCAGACCACTGATCTGAGGCTTCCACGAGGCGCCCAAGTCATCTTGCCTACTTCTGAGAGCTGGGAAATTCTTAATATAAATCAAAGGAAGAAACATGATTCCTCCCTGTCTTATCATCCACCTATTAGATGTGTGCCAATCCACAAAGTTAACAGGGTATTCTGTTTCAGTACTTTTGGCTTAAGCTCATCTGTATTCTTAAGCAATCTGACTTCTAATTGCAGCTTGCTCTTTTAAACAGATCACAAGTTGGCATGTTTTAAAACAGGGTGATCTCAGCCCCCACCTGCACCGCAACCTGCTAAGGAGTAACAGCCTATAAATGGGCTATTCAGAGCAAATCCTACAAAGCCAGAAGCCTTGTCCCTATGAGAAAGACAGGAGGGTGCATTATGCTCCTGGGTATACAGGTGGCCAGGCAGACAAAGCAGCATAATACCAGCTACACGTGGCACAAATAGCTTTTAGGTTTTTTTTGCTGGTTTATGCCCAAGAAAGGCAGCCATGTACTGCTTCCTGAGCCTATTTGCCAGAGCCCTAAAAGCCCAATACACTGCCAGGGGAAATGAGAAACGTTCTGCAAGGTTCGTGCTTTGGAAGGGAACAGGAGCTAAGTATTGGAGAACTATTAGAGAAGAATTAGAGAAACATTAAAACCTTACTTAAAAGGTAGAATCAGTATTTAAAAAATTGTGCAAAAATGAAGAACAAAGAAAAAAAGGAACCACATATAATAAACAATACAGATAGTAATCAAATACGTCTGATACATAGCTTGCAGTCTTTAGACAAAGACTATGACTATACATGAATACACCTAAAGGCTAAGGCAATTAGTTTTAGGTGAAGACAAAAAAGACAGAGAATTTCTTATAAATGAAGACCAGAATAGCTGGGACTTTTGAAGGCTCTCAGCATTCGGAAATCCTCCTGGAACTGTGTGGCTCATGGGCTTAGCATAAAAATCTCAGAATTTGACACAACAGAATATTCTTGTGACAACTTCACATGCAAGTAGACCAAGACCCTTTTCTCCCCAAGTGCCACCCAGAAAACAGGTCACTGAAGTGACAGAGGACAGTTTGGAGAATCACAGAATAGCTGAGGCGGGAAGGTACCTCTGAGACTGTCTAGTTCAACTCCCCTGCTCAAAGCAGGGTAAACTAGAACAAGATGCTTAGGACCGTGTGTGCAGTCTGCTTTTGAATGTATCTCCAAGGATGGAGACTTCACAACCTCTCCAGGCAGCCCGTTCTAGTGTTTGATCACTCTCACAGAGAAAAATGCTTTTTCTTATGTCTAAATGGAATTTCTTGTATTTCGATTTGTGCTTACTGCCTCTTGTCCAAAGAGCCTGGCTCCATTGTCTTTATTCCCTTCCATTAGGTATTTATACATATTGCTAAGATTTCCTTCTGAGCTTTCTCTCCTCAAGGCTAAGCAATATATTCTGCTTTAACTGCTACTTCAGATGTTTTTTTGAACTAGAGGAAAATGTGATTCACGATCTTTCAATAGACATCAGAAGTTCAAGTTTTGTTCTGGCAGGAAAGCCTTTACAAAAGAAATATTCTCCGTGATGAGGATAGTCAAACATCAGAACAGGTTTTCCAGCAAGGCTGTGCAAAACTGCATCCTTGGAGGTTTTCAGCACCTGACTGGAGAACACCCCGAGCAACCTGATATAAGTTGGTCCAGTTTTGAAGAGGGAGATAGATCAGAAGACTTCTGGAGGTCCCTTCCAATCTATAGTATTCTATGACTCTGAAGAGAGACCAAGTAAGGATACCCAGTATATTCACTGCTTCCTTGGACCCTTTTTCAATTCCAACAAAACATGAGTTTACAGGTTACTTTAAACACCATATATTCTATACACTCTGACCAACCTTAATCCTTTCATAATTTAAATAGCTCTCATTAAATCCCTGGCTGGTTTTTAATTTTATTTTTAAAAATGACACAATGTAGGATTTAATTGAAAACCAAGTTTCACACACATTAGGATCTAAAGTGAGCTAGGAAGTGTGCTTAGAAGGGATGAGTGGTGTCTAAAGCAAAGCAAGAACATATACACTAAGGTATCGAAACGGTACTCATGTCCATAGAGAATATACAGAAACCTCAGTGATCACTAGGTAATTGTTCTCATGTTTTTCTTCGGGTTTTAAAGTAGGCAGATTACTTATCAAAAATAAAGAGGGCTATGAAAAAATATTTGCAATACTGAAGTTAGATATTTTAAAACACAAATATTGTTAAAAAAATTACTGAGCACCTCATTTTAACCTCAAGTGTTTACCTTCAAGTGGAATAATAGAAAGGCCTTTGTGCTCTTGGATACACTGACCAAAGACTGACATAAGCAAGAAAATCCAGACTCTAGTCGAAAAAGTCTCATGCAGACTCACAGCCAACCAAACTCACAACAAAAACTGAAAAGCTAAAGATCAATTAACACACCTACAGAAATTTCAACAGCTTCTGAATAAACTATAAAGCCATTTCAATTTTCTATGTACTTCATTGGCATAAGGGAAAAATAACATGCTATCACCAACCTAAAGGAACTTTCTTCCTAGTCAAAATTGAATATGTAATGCAATCCCTGGCGGCGACTTCAAAAGTATTTATATAGGTCGCTGCCCACATTAACACTGATGTTTCACTATTTGCAACTTGAGATCAAGGCAATGAAAATAAGCAAGTTACAGTTCTACCAGAAATCTCATTGATAATACATGACAGTTGATAGCAATATCTCTTGGTCAACTGGAAATACGAACTAAATACTCTCTTTCCGCCCCCCCACCCCCCCCCCACCCCGAGCTTAGCTGTACACTGTGATATTTTAATCTCCTCCTCCTATTCAATGAGAAAAATTCCTCCTTTGCAGGAAAGGCACACTTACTGGCACTTTGAAAGGAGAAGTATTCGAAGCATCCATGGAGTTGGTTTTCTCAGAGGTGCTGGTCCCGGAGATGCTCCGTCTGCGAGGAGATCTCTCTGCTGGGACCTCTGAGGAAGAGAAGAGAAAAGAAGATGAATGGGTGCCGGGGGGTGGGGTATAGTCAGGTTTTAGCCTCCACAGGATAGACGGCTCATCAAAGTTTCAAGTGCATTACTAAACTGCCGAATTACACTCAGCTATTTTTCTATATCTTATTTACTTACTAAATGACAATGGCATTTCCCCTGACAGATTCAAGGTTTTGAATCGGACTTGATTGTAGGCAACAGGCAATTAAAATAAAAAAATGACGGTAAAGATCAATACCCAAACATATTTAGTATTCTGTCACTGTTTGTGAGATATTATTCAGAAATCTTTAACTATTTTTTTTTCTTTCAACGTAAGCAATGCAGTAATTAAAAGATAAATAAAATCAAGACAGAGGGAAGCTCAATTTTAGTCACAGCTGAACATAATTTGACAAAGGTCAAAGTTCGGTCTTCTATGATCACACTACTTGCTCAAACCATGCAACCAGCAAAGACTCATAACTGCCCGAGTAGTATGACATATATATCTCTGCAGATAAAAAAAATAGGTCAACTTCTCCTCATTCTGGAAATATGACCTTACTAAGATATGACTCTGGCATCTTAAATCCATGCAGGCTGATCTGACGAGCACAAATATTCATAAAAGACACACTTATACCTTTTTCCAGCATAAACACTAGAATAAAAGCATAATAAAGTATGCACACTACTAAAAATCTCTACAGAAGCACACGTATATTGTACATACATGCCTTTTGATACATAGCTAGATACACACACATACACATACAGATACCTTTATCACAACTGCTGCCCATCTCCAGCTCAGTTGCCAGACTTAAAGGAATCCAGCTTCACAAAACATCCTCCAGCACAGGGAGGGAAAAAATCACTTCCTAGCAGAAAGTCCATTGTTATCTTCTGAATCTTAAAGAACAGGAGTAAGCCGTGACTCCAGGCAGTGACATTTTGACTCCTGCCGTTTTCCTTTCAAGAGACAGATGCAGCTTAAACTTCCATTTCTGGCCGCCTGGCCCTGGGGATCCGTGCTACTTCCACTTAAGAGAAAGCTGGGTCTCTCCGTTCCCCCTCCCTTCCCACAGCTTGCAGAGAGCAAGCGAGCGAGCGAAAAAGAAACACAGAGGACTGCAGCTATTCAATCAATCGCTCCGACTGCACATCCTCATTAGTTACTTTCAGGCTATTAACAGACGCCCAACTGCCGGCTTCCCTCCGCTACAGAGAATTTCACTGTATATCCTGATTCACAGCAGGAAAAAAGGTTTACAGAGATAGATTGCCAGCTGGTGCCACGAGAGCAGTGTTTTCCTCAGAATAACCGAAGAAAAAATGAGAAAAGCCTTCTTCAGGGATAACATTACTTGTGATGTCTTTGCATACCGGATTTTGATTTCACCAGAGTTATAATACGTATCTCCCACGGACGCTTGAAGAACGACAAAATGGAGCATACTGAACGAGAGGCTAAGAAACCTGGACCCTGCAGTATTAGTGTCTCACACTGTAGATGTTTATCTTTTTTTAAAAAAAAAAAAAAACAAAAAACAAAAACCAAAAACGAACGGCTAACACTCAGCCTCTCAACCTGCTCGTAGCCATCGACGGGGAGAGAACTGCCGAGCGGGAGGACAGCCGCCCAGAGCGGGCAAACAAAGTCGAACACACGGTGTAGCTGCCACTGGAAAATGGGCAGGGCGCAGCCGCTCGCTGCCGACCGTCCGGACGGTGCACGAGCCCCGCCGGCACCGACCACGTAAATCACGGCCTGTCAGAGCTCGCAATAACCCGCGACAGAGAAATACCACTCTGGGGGGAGATTTCTCCTACGGCGGATGGGCGGCATCGGGCACCTTCCCTTCCAGCTAAGGAGGCATCATCGCCTGTTCCAGGGCTGGAGGGTAAGTCCCTGCCAGGGCACCTTTCGAGAACAAAGCGCTCGGAGCAGGGCCAGTGCCAAACTGAGTAACGGTCAGCCCCACCGTCTCGGGAGCTTTTGCAGGGGTTGCTAGTTTTATCCAAAGACGCGCTCTTTTATACCACCAGCCTCCTCCCCCTGCCTCTACGAAGGGAAACTTATTTTCTGCAGCACCTGTAAGTACTGCTTTCCCAAAGACAGCTGTATCTCCCAGGATTTAAATGATTGCTTCTGCTGTTCTCACTGTAAATGCAATGAAAGCAAATGGGAGTGATAGATTCACTTGGAACTGGGGACTAAAGCGAGCACCTTTTATTTTACGTTGAATAGTAATGCGTAACGTAATAGGTTTGGCTTTCTCTACTTCTCACGCGCAGGAAATCACATCAAAGCTGCTTCAGTAATTTAACACAGTCTGTTAACTTTGCTGAGTCATAAATGAAAACAGGAGCCTGAATTCCCCCCCTATTTTCAACAATACGTTCTGCAGGAGTGGCAGTTTAGGAAAAAGTTTAAGTTTAAACCAAATGGAGCTGAAAAGCTACAACACAAGGAACACGCCTGGCTCTCCTTGCCTTCCCTCTCCCCCCCACATCCACCCAGCAGCAATTTGAGTTCTCTGCAAATAAAACACTGAGGTCCCATTGGTAAAATGAGTTTGTTCCGTTCTCAGATCATCGCAGAAGTGTACCAAATGGGGAAAGAAAATATTCAGAAGGTGCCTGCAGTGAACTAAAAATAAAACTACCTTTCCCTCTCTTCCCATTCTGAAAAGCAAGAACAAATAAACAACATGCTCAGTCCCCAGGAAAAAAAAAGACCTAGATATAGCAAAATTGTTGAAATTGGTTGACTGGAAATCAAAAGCTAAAGCAACCTGTCATGATGCCCATAGAACAGGATTTTTGCTGAGTCGTGTAAAAAAAAAAAGAAAAAATCTATACTGTCACCACCAGGCAAAAAACTAGATAGTTCCCTCCCCTGCTCCACAAGTAATGCTAGAGGCTACTCTTGCATAATCTTCACCTGCTGTAAAAATCAATGCACCTCTCATCGGTTTAGTATTAAATTACAACTGCTTTCTGCATTGCTCACTCTCAGGGACCAAGACTACGGATAAATCACATTGTTTCTATGGATAAACAATCTGAAACCTGCCTCATCCTCTCTCAATTTCTGGGAAGAAAAGAGGGGAGAAAAAAAAAAAAGGTAGACACATCTTCTCCTTTTCAACCTTAAATAAAAAAATCCATCAAACAAATGAGTTGTAAACATCCCTCTGGGACACTTTTAATTTACCATCTCATATATCGGTGATATGCAGTAATATTTATGTAAATAGATATTTATGCAAATAAATATTTACACACTACATAGAAATAATCAGGTACAAATTAGCTGAGCCAATTAATCAGCAATGGCAGATGCCTCTGAAAAGGGAGCTGCCCAGGGATACAATGAAGGTAGGTCTCTCTTCACATCTTCATATTGCACCACTCTCTACCCTCAGCAACACCAAAGCTTGGTTCGCTGGCTAGAAGGCAGGTTTGTGTAAGACAGGTGCCACTAACTACTATGAGTAGTGGTGATGCTTGACCTCCTTTGAAGGCAACCGTCTCGGCCACAGAGGCACAGCCTCGATCACCCCCAGTCAGGATGTGGCTCTCGGACTCAACCTGAGTTCCCTCCTGCCGGCTGCTCAGGCCACCTGAGATATGAAACCCTGGTGTTGTGGGAATTTGCATTCTCCTGCGAAGAGCTTTTTCTCAGGGTGGGAGAAGCAGAGATGAAGCAAACCTCCCAGTTTTGCAGGACAGTGCTTGCTACTCTATCTTAATTTTTCTGGATTAGAAACGGAGTGGAGGAGGGCAGGACAAACAATATGGAACAAAGAAACATCCTCAGGGGTTAGAGTTAAAAGAATTAAGGTACTGAGCTTGCAAATAAGGTCACAGAAATAAAGATTATAGGGGTGCCTGTGATTCTGCAAAGGGCAGTGCAATGAAATTCCTGCATGGTCCCAGTGGAACCTGCAGCAAGACTGCAGCATCCTCCAAACTGGGCTTGTGTCCTCCAAGGACTGGTAAGAACATCTCCAGATTTGAGTTGCTGACTTTTAAGTCCAGGAGGTGACTCTAAAGCAGCTCCAAAGACCTACCTGGAGATGCAAAAAAGGGTTAAGCACCCTGCCAAGCATAACTCTTTCTCTGTCATCACTCATTCGGGGCTGGTACCGGCCCGTGTCTCAGCGAACAACAGATCAGACCATCTACTCCAGGCTGGCAGGTCCTACATTTCTATCCTAAAGTTCTCAGCCTGGTCATGTTCTGCACACCAATCTTTTTATCAATTGTGTCTTTTAGCAGTTTGCAATAATCAATGAATCAAAAGTGATAATCAAAGTCACAATTTTATCAGTTGTGATTTTTAGCAGCTCATAACAACACATGGCTTAGCACTGACCAATTATCTCCTATAACACCCTTTACTCTGATGTGCAAGGAAGATTTGGTTTTGTGAAAGGCTACATTTACCATCTACTGCTGGTGTATATTATCTACTGGTTAAGAAAATCAAAGAAAGATTTCGGGGATTGGGACTTCCCTTTGTTTTGTCTGCACACTTCCTGATATGATGGCCCCTTGGTCTGTGACTAGAGGGGATAGAGAATATGATTAAAAATAATCAATTCATTCTGCCTCTCAATCCTAGCTTAATTACAGGCGTTAGAAAAACACAAAATCAGTTCAATACCACCAATTACCTATCCAGAATCAAGCATTCCCAAAGAGTGCCTCTCCAGTGCACTTGTATCAAAATGTTCCCAGCTGAAAACAAAACCTCACCCAAATATTTTCACCTTGGCACTCCCATGAGAAAATGGTAATTGCTGCTGGTCAGAGCATTAGCTGAGCAATCAAACAATCCTGCAATTAGCCTCTTGTCTGAAGGAAGGATCAATAAGGTACACGTACTATACCCCTCTTTTTAAGCAAAATTTATTGTTGCTTTAAATGTGGTAGCACTCATGCAGCAGTAGTGGTGCACAGTGGACAAACAAGCTAAATATTTACCT